TTCCTGGAGGATCTTCGGTTGGAAAGAGCCGTGCACAGACAGTGAGGTCATGGTCCTCCACCCCATGCTAGCATCTCGGGCTCTTCTCGTTCTGGGTAGCCTTCCAAAACCTGGGTGCGAGGATCCTGCCTCACCAACAAAATAGAAAAGACCGGCTACCCCATGCACCTGAAGCTGATGGGGCCAAGCTGCTCTGTCATGTTCAGTTCTCCACGTGCCTCCTGAGGGCACATTGCCAGGCCATTGTGCTGTGCATGATGCTGCAGAATGATTTATGAAAGAGAAAAAAGGAACAGGTGAACGCGCATTATCTCGGAGGCTTGTTCTTCTGTTAACTGAGGTGGGCTGTTCTTTGTGCAAGGTAGTACATTCCTAGACTAATGATACAATGGAAGGACAATGTAATTAATTTAGGGAGAAATAAGTACTGTATTTGCTTTTATCTTGTAACAGCTCCATTTTCTTCCTTGTTGGGTTTAATGGTTGACTGCTCATTAGACTAGAGATGTAAATCCTATTTCGTTGTTGTTGTTCTTGCAGGCGAGAACAAAAGAATTAAAATTGCAAAGTACCCAGGTTCATGCTAGTCTGGCTGCCCCCCCATCCCCCAAATCACCACAACCTCTGGGTCGGTTGGATAATATGACTGGAATCTTGGAGACTCAACTCATATTTGACAGTTAAAAGCAAAGAAAAAAACCACGAAGTGTCCTGCTTACATACTGCCCCATGGGGCTTAAAGCTCTCTCTGGGCAGTTTGCAATTGAATTACGCAGGCTGCACACTGCCTCCCCCCCCCCCACAAGCTGAGTGCCCATTTTACTAACTTGAGAAGGATAGAAGGCTGAATCAACCTTGGGACAGCTGCCATAGTCTGCTGGGCTCTTGAGCAGAGTCTTCACAGCAGAACTGCAGTTTAATCCCTGTGCCATGAGGCTCCTTAAGTCAGTATAACCCCTTTGTTACCTACTCTGGCAGGCATCAGCTTCCACCCCATTGTGTGAACCAATGACGAAATTTGGCACCTTGCAAAATGGAACAAAGCGCCCATGTTTGTGTGTAAATATCTGCAGATAAAAATGTACAAATGGCAGAGGCCTTGAGGAGAAAAGATGGCGCTTGTGCTTCCTTCCCTTTTGCCTGGAGGGGGGAGGGCTTAAACCTTCCTTCCCTTGGTGTCTCGTCAAGTCATGGCAGCCGAAATCTGTGAGAAGGAAAAATTTAGTGCGCCCACCTTTTTAGGTCCCTCCCCTTCAGTAAGGATTTTGTTTTTGCAGATGATGACGTGTTCCTCTGTCCCACCCCACCCCCGGGCTGGCCAAAATCACAAGAGGGGCTCTGTGGCCTTGTGTGTGTGTGTGTGTGTGTGTGTGTGTGTTGAGTCTTCCAGGTGAAAAGTCCATGGACATTGTTTTTGTGCCAGAAAACCAAAACATCTCTTCTGCTTTGCTCTGGTAACCTCTAT